CCAGGCTAGGCGACAAAGCAAGACTGTGTCTCCAAAAAAAAAAAAAAAAAAAAAAGCAAGTCTGTAAGCAACTCTGAACTTACTTTTTAAACTTCATTGAAAGAAATAAATTGAACAACAGGGCATTTAGAAAAAGCTGGGGAAGTTTGTAGACAACTGCAAAAGGTCAGGGAAGCATTATAAGTCATAGACATGGAAGTCCATGTATACATGACCCTAATATAAGATGAAATGTCTCCGAAACTGTATGCCTTCTGCTTTAAAGTGTTTTGCTTATCAAAGAAGAACATTTTCACAAGATACTCTAGGAAGTTAAGACTGTTTTGGTCACGTCTTGACATAATTCTGGAAACTTTATAAAGTCAGAAAATAGCTTCTGGCATTGTCAGTGCCTCACAGCAGGAGGAATGGAGGTAGCTTGGTGGGACAGGAGAGAACTCTTCAGGAGACTTGGCTCTGCCTCTGACTAGCTCTGTGTTTATGGGCAAGACCATCCCTGCAGCTAGCTCTCTGGGCCACTGTCTTCCTCGTGAAAATAGAATTGTATGAAATTGTCTGAGCCTTAGAAACTACCAGAATTTCATGGGCTGTAACTTAGGTACCTCCAGGGCCCAAGCAGGTGAGGTAAATGAATGAAAGGGGCACCAGGGGTGACAGGGAGTTCCAGAGCTGAGTCATTGAGTCAGTGAACCACACAGCACAAAGGCATCTAATATGGCTTGGCTCTGTGTCCCCATCCAAGTCTCATCTTGTAGCTCCCATAATTCCCATGTGTTGTGGGAGGGACCTGGTGGGAGATAACTGAATTATGGGGGCAGGTATTCCTGTGCTGTTCTGGTGATAGTGAGTGGGTCTTACGAGATCTGATAGTTTTACAAATGGGAGTTTCTCTCACAAGCTCTCTTTTTGGCTGCTGGCATCCACATAAGATGTGACTTGCTCTTTCTTGCCTTCTGTCATGATTGTGAGACCTCCCCAGCCGTGTGGAACTGTAAGTCCAATAAACCTCTTTCTTCTGTAAATTGCCCAGTCTTGGGTATGTCTTTTTCAGCAGCATGAAAACAGACTAATACAGTATATTCGTGTCAGTGGAGTGGGACACTGCTGAAAAGGTACCTGAAAATGTTGAAGCCACTTTGGAACTAGGGAACAGGCAGAGAGGTTGGAACAGTTTGAAGGGCTCATCAGAAGACAGGAAAATAAAATAAATAAATAAATAAATAAATAAATAAAAAGAAGACAGGAAAATATGGGAAAGTTTGGAACTTCCTAGAGAGTTGTTGAGTGGCTTTGCTCAAAATGCTGATAGCAATATGAACATTAAGTCCAGGCTGAGGTGGTCTCAAATGGAGATGAGGAACTTGTTGGGAACTGAAGGAAAGGTGACCCCTGTTATGTTTTGGCAAAGAGACTGGTGGCATTTTGTCCCTGCCCTAGAGATTTGTGGAACTTTGAACTTGAAAAAGATGATTTAGGGTATCTGGCAGAAGAAATTTCTAAGCAGCAAAGCATTCAAGAGGTGACTTAGGTGCTTTTAAAAGCATTACATTTTAAAAGGGAAACAGACAATAAACGTTTGGAAAATCTGCAGCCTGAAAATGCAGTAGAAAAGAAAAACCCATTTTCTGAGGAGAAGTTCAAGCTGACTACAGAAATTTGCATAAGTAACAAAGAGCCGAATGTTAATCCCCAAGACAATGGGGAAAATGTCTCCAGGGCATGTCACAGGTCTTCATGGCAGTCCCTCTCATCACAGACCCAGAAGCCTAGGGGGAAAAGTGGTTTTGTGGGCCCAGGGTCCCTGTGCTGTGTGGAACCTAGGGACTTGGTGCCCTATGTCCCAGCCACTCCAGTCATGGCTGAAAAGGGCCAGCATAGAGCTCGGGCCATGTCTTCAGAGGGTGCAAGCCCCAAACCTTGGCAGCTTCCATGTGGTGTTGAGTCTGTGAGTGCAAGAAGTCAAGAACTGGGGTGTGGAAACCTCCAACTAGATTTTGAAAGATGTATGGAAACACTTGGATGCCCAGGCAGAAGTTTGCTGCAAGGGTAGGACCCTCGTGGAGAACCTCTGCTATGGCAATATGGAAGGGAAATGTGGGGTCAGAGCCCCCATACAGATGTGACTGTCTAGTAGAGCTGTGAGAAGAGGACCACCATCTTCCACACCCCAGAATGGTACATCCACTGACAGTTTGCACTGTGCACCTGGAAAAGCCACACTCACCCACAGCTCATGAAAGCAGCTGGGAGGGAGACTGTACCCTGCAAAGCCACAGGGGTAGAGCTTCCTAAGAACATGGGAATCCACCTCCTGCATCAGTGTGACCTGGATGTGAGACATGGAGTCAAAGGAAATCATTTTGGAGGTTTAAGATTTGACTGCCCTGCTGGATTTCAGACTTGAATAGGGCCTGTTGCCCCTTTGTTTTGGCCAGCATTTGTCATTTGGAATGACTGTATTTACCCAATGCCTGTACCCCACCACCCATTGTATCTAGGAAGTAACTAACTTGCTTTTGATTTTATAGGCTCATAGGTGGAAGGGACTTGCTTTGTCTCAGATGATACTTTGGACTATGGACTTATGAGTTAATGCTGAAATGAGTTGAGACTTTGGGGGACTGTTGGGAAGGCATGATTGGTTTTGAAATGTGAAGATATGAGATTTGGGAGGGGCCAAAGGCAGAATGATATTTTTTGCCTCTATGTCCCCACTCAAGTTTTACCTTGTAGCTCCCATAATTTCCATGTGTTGTGGGAGGGACCCAGTGGGAGATGACTGAATCATGAGGGCAGGTCTTTCCCATGCTGTTCTCATGATAGTGAATGGGTCTCATGAGATCTGATGGTTTCAAAAACAGGACTTTCTCTGCACAAGCTCTCTTTTTGCCTGCTGCTGTCTGCATAAGATGTGACTTATTCCTCCTTGCCTGCTGCCATGATTGTGAGGTCTCCCCAGTCATGTGGAACTGTAAGTCCAATAAACCTTTTTCTTTTTTAAATTGCCCAGTCTCGGGTATGTCTTTATCAGCAGCACAAAAACGGACTAATACAGTATCCAAATTAAAATTTAGAATGAAAAGCAGGTTTCATCTTCAATTCATCCCTAGATCACCACTTGGATCTCTGCTCCAGATTTCCAGGGTACCAAGTCTGCATGCACACGAAAGATTCAGGAAGATTGTACATCTTGGCCAACATGGTCCTACTTTATACCCGTTGTCCTGGCATAATTAGTAATGGCACCCTCCTTAACTCTCAAAAGTGTCCTAGTTTATGTGAAAAGTCATAAGGCCATCCAAAGTAAGGAGGAATCAGCAGTGACTAAACATAAACTTTTGGGAGCAGGTTTATTTATTCAAATCTGTCCAAGCCTTCAGATGAAGCTAAGTAGGCTTGGCATTGTATTGTAAGTGTACAGATAATTAATCTAAATAAACTTCCAAAATATCCCAACCAGAATGGTTCAATAAAAGCAGTATGTCATAAATTTTAAAATCACAGACAATGTAGGAAAGGCTATCAATATGTGAAAAATATTGAACTTCACCAATAATCAAGAAAGAAATTTCAATAACAATGAGGTAACATTTTCCTTATCAGAATATTTAAAAATTACTTAAAACTCTAATACCCAGTGTCAGGATAGGTGTGATCAAAGGAACTCTCATATACTGCTGGTAGGTTTCTAAATTGGCTAATACAAACTTTCTGGAATGCTATTTGATAACATGTTTTAAACATCTTTATCAAGTTTATATTCCATAACCTGTTATTAATTCAGAAAATACTTATTGAATACCTACTACGTGCTAGGCACTAAGGGATAAAGTGGTAAAAGAGATAGGTGCTATTTTCTCCAAATGGGATTTCAGTCTAGTGGAGGAACAGACATTACAGGGAAAAAAACACACAAGAATTTAAATTACAGTTTGCAGTAAATACCCAAAAAGTAGACTCACATGATGCTGAGAGAGGAACATGTGCTTAGTACATGTATTGGATGAGGTATCAGGAAATGGGTTGAGCAGCTGAAGAGGGAGGGAAGGGTGAATAAAGGCTTGAATAAAGGCTTGAATAAAGGTTTTGAGGCTGGAAGAAGCTTAGCACATTGGAGTAAAAGGAAGGAACCACTAGGTTGGAGTAAGAGAGTACGGGGGAAAAAGTGGCAAGCTGAAGGTAGAGAGTGAGGAGGGATTGCAACTAAGATTTTTATCTTAACAGCCACTCAAGGATTGTGAAAGCAGATTGGTATTTTTGAAACTCTCTGATGGTGGCTTCAATGAGGGTGGGGAAGACAGAAATAAATAGAAATATTAAAGATATTTAGGAAGTGGAATCAACAGGATCTAGTGACTAAATAGATGGGGGTAGTGAGGGAGAGAAGAGATGTCACTGATGGGTTCCAGTTTTGTATCATAAGCAACTTGGTGGAAAGATGGTGTCACTTTACTGAAATGGGCAATAGGAGGAGGAAGGTTTGGTAGGGGAGAAAAAACAAGGAAGATATTGAATCTTTTCTGGATATTCTATATCTAAGATGTTATAAGACATACAAGTTGAGATTACAAGTAGATATTTAGTTATGTAAGTTTGGAGCTTAGCAGAGAGTACTGGGGCTGAAGATACAAAGATGGGAATCATAGCATGTGGATGGTATTTGAAAGCTTCGCCTTGGGTGACATGGTTTTGAGACAAATATGGAGTGAGAAGAGAAGACCAAGTTCCTAGTCCTAATGGACTCTAGCCCATATAGAACTAGGAGAAGAAGCATGAGTTTGTAAGGAAGATGGGGACAGAAGCAGGGAAGGGCCAATAGTTACTTTTCTAATAATCTAGCTTAGGGACACAGAAATGAGGATCTAGATAGATTTATGCATGAAGAGGCTCACTGTGGCATTTACAGTAGTGAAAAATTAGCTTCAACCTCAAATGTCAAAAAAAAAAAAAAAGATGTTTACATACATTGTGACACATTAATTCTGGGGAATAAATGCAGT